GGCTGCTTGTCTCTGCCCCAGGTGTCATGGGGAGGGGGCAAGTTGGGTCCAGGTGAATATAGTTGCAGCCTAAGTTGGGGAGGGGATGCAGGCAGGGTAGAGCTGCAGCCTAGTAGGCATGGTTGGAAACGAAGAGAGACTCGCTGGCGGCAGCACCGGCCTGGCCGCTGCCGGCATACTTGCCCTGGCAGGCGAGGCTGTTGGCCTGCAGAGAGACGGACAGACAAGACAGGTCAGAGCAGCACATAAAACCCAGCGTCCGGGCTACCCTCCCCCACCCCCTCTGCAAGTCAGAGGTCACTCTCCCCCCCGCCACGGGCCAGGTCAGTACGCACCAGAGCGCGCTTGACGTACTCCTCCTGGGCCGCCTTGGTGTTCTCCTTCTTGCCGCCCCAGGCCTTGAGGGCCGAAGCCTGCAGTGCACGCCCGTAGGAGAAGGTCAGGGCCCAGGGCTTGTGCAGGGGGCACTTGTTGATGGCATTGAGGTTCAGAGACGCCTCCTCCTCGCTCTGCCCCCCAGACAGGAAGGTGATACCTGTGAAGGGGGAGGGAGTCAGTGCCAGCAGGACATGGTGCTTGCGGGGTTAACAGGCTGGGCTGGAGCAGGGGACCCTGGGCATAGGCACAGCACCCAGGGGGTTAACGGGCAAGGGAGTGGAGCCAAGGAGATGGTGGAGCCTCCCCTACCCTGGCTTGCATGCTCAGAGCATGGCTGTCAGGGGTGAGATAGGGAGCGGGGCCACAGGGGGTGAAGCTAGGGGCAGGCCCAGGCCTCACCGGGCACAGCAGGTGGCACGGTGCGGCGCAGCGCAGTGATGGTGGCCATGGCGATCTCCTCATGGCTGTACTTTGTGGTGCAGGCATGCCCAGGTGTCACCATGTTGGGTTTCAGCAGTGACCCCTCCAGGTAGACATGGTGGTCGCTCAGCGCCTTGTACACAGCCGCCAGCACCTGGGGGGGGCAGGACTGGTCAGGACACCACCCCAGTGGTGCCCACCACCCACATCCACTGCTGCATCTTCCCTCCAGCTCCTCCAAGAGGCGGGGCTCCTTCTGGCCACACCCCCAAAGATCTCCAGCCCCCCAGCCTCTCATAAGTGCCCCCTCACTGCAGTGACCCCTCTCACCTTCTCGGTGACGTACTGGCAGCGCTTCAGGTCATGGTCGCCATCGGGGAGGATCTCGGGCTCCACGATGGGCACAATGCCGTTCTAGAAGGACGTGGGGGGAGGTCGGGATGAGCCTGTTAGCCCTGACCCCAACCCCCAGCCCCACCTACAGCCCCTCTAGCCCCACCTGCTGGCAGATGCTGCCTGTGCCCTTCTGGCTCTGCCCTCAGTCTTAGCCCCACCCCCTGCTAGCTCCCGGGAGAGGAAGTAGCCCTGCCCCACGGCCACCTGCTGGCAGATGCTGGCGTAGCGGGCCAGCACATTGGCGTTCTCCAGGATGGCGAGGCGCGAGGGCGTGTGGGGCCCAATCTTGAGCACGCAGCGCCACTTGGCGAAGTCGGCCCCATCCTTCTTGTACTGGGCGCAGCGCTCAGAAAGCCCGTCCAGGCCTGGGGAGGGGGATGAGGCTCAGGACCCAGGCATTTGGGGAAAACCCCACAGACATGCCCGTCCTGCCAGATGCGACCACTTGCAGCCCCCCAGGCCACCCAGCCCCGAGACCCTGGTGTCCAGGCACTCACCTTGGGTGGTGGTCTCCCCATCGGTCCCAGCCAGGGGCACCACGCCCTTGTCCACCTGTGGTGGGGGAGAGGGAACCTCATCAGTACTGCCCAGACCCCCGGCCTCCACTCCTCACTCCTGCACCCCCACTACCAGGCTCCAGGTGTAAGCCCCGAGACCTCCAACCCCTGCCCCCTCCCCCCACAAATAGTCCCCATGACCATCTTGCCCCCCCCCAGGGGCCTACCTTGATACCAACAACGCCGCCCTTGGCCTTGATGACCTGGGGGAAGGTGCGCCCATCGTCGGCCTTCTGGTAGAGGGTCTCGTGGAAGAGGATGACGCCGCCAATGCAGGGATCCACGCGCGCGTCAGCCGTGAAGAGCAGCTGCCGGCACCACCGCCG